TTAGTGGGAAATTCATCATTCAGATGGATATTTCAACGGCATTCCTGAATGGGATTTTAGAGGAGGATGTGTACATGACGCAGCCGCCTGGGTATGAGGATGGTACGGGCAGGGTGTGCAAGCTCAACAAGTCCATCTACGGCTTGAAGCAGGCGCCACGCTGCTGGTACCAGAAGTTGGCAGCTGTTTTAGAGGAGATTGGATTCAGGACCAGCAGCTGTGATGAGAGCCTCTTTCTCAAGGGCGAGGGGGAGAAGCTGGTGCTGTTTCTGGTCTATGTGGACGACATTCTTCTCTTCAGCAGCAGCATGAAGGAGATCCAGAAAGTGCAGCAGCAACTGATGGAAAACTTCAAGTGCAAGAACCTTGGGGAGGTAAAGTACTACCTCGGGATGCACGTGGAGAGGGATCCAGATCACAGGTGGTTGAAGCTGCACCAGGAGAAGTTCATCAAGGAGCTGGGGGAGAAGTATGGGATTGAGAATGAGCGCAAGGTTGCAACTCCCCTGCCAGCAGAATTCAAGCTTGTGAAGGCTGCAGAGGATGAAGGGGTTGAAGCTGAAGAGCAGCAGCAATTTCAGTCCTTGGTGGGCAGCCTCTTGTACGCAGCAGTTCACACGAGGCCCGATATCTCTTTCTCGGTTGGGCAGCTGGCTAGGGTGGTGCAGAATCCATCAGAGGAGCAGGTGGATGCAGCTGAGCGTGTGGTGAAATACCTGAACTCTCACCCAAGCATTGGAGTTCAATACTCCGCATCTGCACAGGTGAAGCAGAAAGGGGTGGAGGTGCTGAAAGAGAAGGGGGAGAGGCTTGGAGAAGGCAAGCCAGAAACGCTGTGCTTCATGGGCTGAACAAGCACATGCGTATCAAGTGGCACTGGCTGCGTAAGGAGGTGAAGAGGGGGACGGTGAATCCAATCTACATCAAGACTCACCAGCAGCCAGCAGACTTTCTCACCAAGAGGCTTGCGGATGAGCCTCATTGGCGTTGTGTGCGCATGAGTGGAATGAGCATGAACTAGCATGGAATGACGGGGATGCAGCCGGCAGGCTGAGGGGGAGTGTGTTGGGTGCAAATGCACATTGCACGACATCCTGCCGTCTGTTTGTACGAGTATGCGTGTGCGAATGCATTTGCGTGTGAATGGTGTGTTCGTGTGTTTGTTTGCTTTCGCTTTTTTCGCTTGATGCATTTGCAGGTACTCGCGCAATGTGCGCTTTGGCACAACATTGTATGCGCTATGAACAGTGCAAGCAGGAAGGACGAGCTCGCAAAGGAACCCAAGATGGAAGCTTTGCAGTTCGGTTGAGTTGATTGCGCAGATTCAGTTCTATCCAACTCGAAATTGTACTGTTTTGTTTGGTTAACTATAGTGTAGCAGGGAAGGCACTATAGGGGTACAATTTAGGTGAAGGTTGGATGTTGTTTGTCTGTATCTGCATGCTACAAGGCCAGGGGAAACCAGCGGAACCAGCATTTGGCTGGTTGGGCAAAGACAACACAGGTTCTGTTTTTAGAACCTGAACCTGGTTGTTGTTTTCCCAGGTTGGAAAAACAGAACCAGAGGTTGTTTACCAACCTACCACCTGCTATTTTGTCCAGCCAGGTTGGTTCTGTTGCTTGGAATTATTTGGGATCATCCCTGGTTGTTCCCAGGTTGATTCCCAAGGTCCTTGCTAGCTAGAACTATTTAATCCTTCTCTGTTTGTACCTGAATATAGTCAAATTGATTCAAGCGAATTCCTTCCTCGCTGGAATTTCGTTTCTGCGCTATTCGACGGCGGAATGCTACCCGAGTCAACGCTAGTATGCTAGCACTCCAACGCTGGGCAAACGCTGTCCGAGCCATAACTTAGTAATGGCAGAACTTTTCGCGAGGCAACTTGGCTCATTTTAAAGCTCTTGGAGCAAGCTTCGATATAGCGAATTCTCAGCTTAATCCGACCGACAGTCTGCACGGCACGCTGCGCGACGTTCAAGGTGCTCTTGCTGTTTTGACTAAGTCCTTCTTGATCCCTCTCTCTACAAACTCGGACCCGAGGATAGGGGCTGGTCTTGTACCAGGCACCCAGGGACCCTTGGAGGTGACCCCGAGGAGAGGTTTTAAGTTTGATTAAGTCCTAATAGCTTGAGTTTATTAGGCCCTTACACCAACAGATACTCGTCCCGCAAACCTCGGCGAAGCCATCGTCAACCTCGTCGCCGGTGATTCGCGACATTCGTCGGCGGAAATTTTCCCGCTGCACCTTCCCGTCACTTTCGACGGTAATTTATCTGGTAAGCGCATCGTCCGCGCTATAACCTAACGCTCGCTTTCCTCCTCGTCGGGCCGCCGCCCGTCGCCCTGCAGCTTCTCGTCGGGCCGCCGCCCGTCGCCTCGCAGCTTCACGTCGGGCCGCCGCCCGTCGCCCCGCAGCTTCTCGTCGGGCCGCCGCCCGTCGCCCTGCAGCTTCTCGTCGGGCCGCCGCCCGTCGCCTCGCAGCTTCACGTCGGGCCGCCGCCCGTCGCCTCGCAGCTTCTCGTCGGGCTGCCGCCCGTCGCCCTGCAGCTTCTCGTCGGGCCGCCGCCCGTCGCCCCGCAGCTTCACGTCGGGCTGCCGCCCGTCGCCCCGCATCTGCACTCCTACCCCTTCCCCCTTCCCGCAGCTGAACAGGTGCAGCAGCGCAGCCGAGCAGCCGTGTAGCCGCGAAGCAGAGCAGCCGTGTAGCCGCGAAGCCGAGGGTGGTGTGTGGGGGGATGTGTGATAGATCTACGGAAATCGGCCGATTCGACCTAATTTTGGCGGCCTGAAAATGAAAAAAAAAAAAAAAAAAACCTTCTACGTGACATTCCGACGCGGCCGACATTGACGATTTTCGCTATTCCGGTCCGTCGGATTTCGGAATCGCCGCGCTGCGCGCCGCGCGAGAAGGGGTCTCCACCATGGCTCTCTCGTCTTCCACCATGGCGAACCCCATCACCCCGCTCCGCCTTGAAGCTGATGGCTCTAGCTCCAACTTCAAGGCGTGGAGCTACGGAGTTGACAAGCACCTCCTGAGCCGTGACGTGCAGGGCCTTGACCTCAAGGACGTCCTCCTCAACCGTGGCAAGGGGAAACAGCCTACTATTCCCCGTGAGCCGACCGAATCTCCAAGTGATACTGACGTGAGGGCGTACGAGGAGGCTGTTGAGAAGTACCGGAAATGGGAGAAGGCCGATGCTGCCATCATCAGCGTCTTCATCGCCTCCACCCCTCCCGAACTTGTCAACACGTTCCATAACTACCCTACCTCCAACGCCATCTGGAAGTACCTCCAGGATCGGTTCATGAACAAGACGGCGGTCGGCGTGGCCATTCTCATCCCTAGCATGTTTCAGGTCCGCCTTGAGGACTGCTCGGGAATGGCCGATTACATTGCCAAGGTGCAGACCATTCATGGCGAACTCAAGGAGCTGGGTATAGTCTTCCCCGAGCAAGCCCCTGCAGCCGCCCTACTTGTTGGACTCACCTCGGCATATGAGGTCACGAGGAAGATGCTCCTCACACTCTCAGCAGAGGACCTCACCTTTGCTAAGGTCTCCACCGCACTCCTCTCTGCCGAGAAAGACTCCACGGCTCAGGCCAAGGCGTACGCTATCCGCGCTCCCATGCCTCAAGCAAGTGTCGCAGCGGCTCTCGCCTCGGCGCCCTTCCAGCGCAACCGCTTTCCTCCGTGCCCCTACGTCGTCAAGTATGGGAATCGCAAGGGACAAGTGTGTGGTGGCACTAACCACCCCCTCGCCACGTGCTTCAAGAAGAAAGACGACGAATGGTACGCCATTCACGGAGTGGACAAGAAGCCGCCGAATTGGATGCGCTCTCGCAAGGCCAACCTAGTTGAGGTCCAGGACCCCGCTTCGACTAGTGCTAGTGATGCTGCTCCTGCTGATGTGCGTATCAACCTGTTGTTCCCTGGCACTGCCATGATTAATGAAGCTACCTCACAGTACATCGGCTCATCACACGCACCACAATACATAGAGTTCACACTCGATAGCGGGGCCACTCACACCGTGCTCAAGGAGACCCTCTCCTTCAAACCTTACCCAACACCTATCCCTCTCTTAGGAGCTGACTCAAGCTTCACCACCCTCGCCAAGGGTACCTCCACAGTCCCATGCCCCGCCTTCCCATCCGGCACTGTCACTGGCATGTGCGTGCCTTCACTGCGTCACAATCTAGTTGCCCAAACAGAAATTCAGGAGGCAGGGCTACGCACCATCTTCCCAGAGAACGAGGACTATTGCGACATCATCGATCCACGCACCAACAAAACTCTGGCCCGCTACACCCTCAACAGCAACGGCCTCTACACGCTACGCGTCCCTCTCCCACAGGTGTCAACCACCCAAGCACAGGCCACTATCACACCATGCTCATGTCGCACCCTCTCCAACCCGACCATCCTCTACCACCATCGGCTCGGGCACCCAAATTTCCGCACTCTTGCTGACATGGCCTCCAAGAAACTTCTCCTCGGCCTGCCAGCCGCACTTCCCCCACCACCTGACTCACCAGCTCCCACGTGCCTTGATTGCACCAAGAGCAAACTGCGCCAACAGCCCCATGCTGCCTCACCCACAATCGCTGCAGCACCACTGGACCTCGTGCACATGGACGTCTGGGGCCCTGCCCCTGTTCTCGCACGAGGTGGCTATCGCTACTTCCTTATCATTGTGGATGACCACTCCCGCTATGTCTCTGTTCACCTCCTCCACACTAAGGCTGAGATCCAGCAAAACTTCACCCTCCCTGACAGCCCTCAACAGAACGGCATAGCTGAGAGCCGCAACCACACCCTGGTGCAGATCACTCGGTGCCTCCTCAGCCACTCCAACGCTCCTCACTCTCTTTGGGGGTACGCTCTCTACCACGCTGCCCTCCTCTACAACCTTTACCCCCACCCGCACCTTCCCGACACCACTCCAACCACACTCTGGCTCGGGAAAACGCCCACTGCTCGCTCTCTTCGCGTTTGGGGATGCACCGCCTATGTCCTCCTCAACCCTCAGGCTCGACGGCATACCGGTGGCAAGCTCGGTCCCAAGACTCAGACGTGCATCTACCTCGGGCACAACGCCGACTCACCTGACTACCTCTTCCTCAATCCCTCCACTCACCAGTTGGTCAGGAGCCGTGACGTTGTCTTTGATGAGACCCGCCCATTCTACTCCCCTTCGGGACGGGACCCTCTCCCTGATCCACCCTCCCTCGTGTGGGCAGACTTTGATGCGCCTCCCGACCTCCCGCCTGCTCCTGCTCCCTCACCTCCTCCCTCTCCTGCCATCGCACCATCTCCCTCTGAGGTCACTGACCCGGCCTCACCGGTGTCTTCGGCAGCTGCTCCTCCCTCCCCCTCACCTTCCCCACTTCCCGCTGCGCCGCCCCCTCCGAGCGCACCTATCACCTACCATCGGCGGTCCCACCCTCCGGCCCCACCTCCTCCCCCGGCTCCCCCCACCACAGAGGAACCCGCTCTCCCACAGTCGCCCGAGCTGATCACGTACCGCCGGCGACCCCTTCCCCCGCCCAAGCCTGCTAAGTCACCCTCTCCGACCCCGCCAGCCCCACCCTCTTCCCCGGTGGCTCATGGCACTCGCTCACATCGCGCTACTCTTCCACTCGCGATGGTTCTTCGATACACCGCGATCACACCGCCTCCTCCTGCTGGGGGGGATGTGCCCTCTACCCTTCTAGAAGACAGGCATGAGGAACTGTGTGATCTCCATGCAGTCCTTCCTCAGCTCTCACACATCTTCCCCGACATCACTGGCTCACCCTCCCTCAACTTCGCGGAGAACCCGACCATCCCTATCCCTCTCACCGTTCCTCTCACCGTCCGAGAGGCTCTCTCAGGCCCTCATTCTGCCAAATGGCGTGCTGCCATGGACGCGGAGATTGCAGCATTCACCCGCAACCACTCCTTCGACGACGAGACTCCACCTCCAGGAGTCAACATCGTCGGGGGCAAGTGGTTGTTCCGTGTAAAACAGCTCCCAGACGAGGCACCGGTGTTTAAAGCGCGCTACGTAGCCAAGGGCTTCACCCAGCAGCAGTACCGCGACTTCTTCCTAACCTTCTCCCCCACATCCAAACCTCCCACCATTCGTACGCTCATGGATGTCGCAGCTCGAGAAGACTTCGAGATCAAATCCATGGATGCCTCATCCGCCTTCCTACAAGGACGTCTCAAGGAGACAGTGTTCATGGACAGACCAGAAGGCTTCCCAGGAGATTTCCCTCCCAACACTGTCTGGAAGCTGAATCGCCCCGTCTACGGCCTTAAGCAAGCCCCTCGCGAATGGCACAACAAGGTGAAAGAAGTCCTCCTCTCCCTGGACTTCCACCCTTCAACTGCTGACCCGACTCTCTTCATCCGCCGTCATTCTGAGCCCTTCTACATCCTAGTCTACGTGGATGATTTCATCCTCGTGGCCAAGGACTCGGCCCAGATGACCTCAGTCCAGGCAGCCCTAAGCAAGGCTCTCCAGATGAAAGACCTCGGTGACCTCAAGCACTACCTGGGGATGGAGATCACTCGTGATCGCAAGGCTCGCACCATCTCACTCTCCCAGGAGTTCTACATCGACAATGTGCTCAAGCGATTTGAGATGGAGCTATGCACACCTGTTGCCACCCCGCTGCCGCTGCAACACCTCCTCACAGCTCCAGCGGTACCCACACCAGAGGCCTGCTCTGAGCCATACCCGGAGCTTGTTGGGTCCCTCATGTACGCCATGATGTGCACCCGGCCAGACCTGGCCTATCCTGTCAGTGTCCTCTCTCGCTACGTGGCCCCTGGACGCTTCACTGACCTTCACTGGAAGGCAGCCAAGCGGGTGTTGCGCTATCTTCAGGGCACCAAGTCTCACGTCCTCACACTCGGTGGGCTCTCCCCTCCTCGCCTAGAGGGTTACACCGACTCCTCCTGGGCTGATGACCAGACCGACCGACGCTCCTCTCAGGGGTACTGCTTCACCCTTGGGAGCGGAATTGTCAGTTGGCGCTCCACCAGGTCGTCTGCAGTCTCCCTCTCCTCATGTGAGGCAGAGCTCTACGCAGGCACCATGGCTGCTCAGGAGGCTCGTTGGCTCACCTTCCTCCTCCAGGAACTTGGTTTCCCACAGTCCGCCCCTACCCTCTGGTGTGACAACCAGAGTACCATCCACATCTCTCAAGACCCTGTGTATCACACCCGCACCAAGCACATTGAACTCCGGCACTTCTTCATCCGTGACCTTGTCCAACAAGAGCAGTTGAAAGTGGAATACGTTGCATCTGACTGCAACCTGGCTGATCTGTTCACCAAGCCCCTTGGGAAAGTTCCCCACCACCGTCTCCTTGGCGCCATGGGGCTCTGTGCTCCACCCTCTCTACCCTGAGTTCGATTGACGCCTATGGGGGGGTGTTAGTGTTAGTCTTCAATCTCACAATTTGTACTTTGTATTTTCTATATCCTAGAGTAGTGTAGTTTGCACATTGTGTTTGGTTGGGTGTACACCTACATCCCAACCAAACCCAAATGTAATCTCCAACCAATCTCCAACCCACCAATTGGAGATTGCCTTGGGATTACCCCCAATCCCTAGAGATTGCCCCCGATTCCCTTCCCCATCCTTTTCCTACCCCTCTTGGATGTACTTAAAGAGCTTCAAGCTCATTACTAATGCATCGCTTCTAAGCCTATTTCTGACACCAGCATCTCCTCCACACATTCAATCATTGCAGGCGACTCGAAGAAGAGCAGGATGTCGTCCACATACACCAAGAGCATGAGGAACTGCTCCTTCTCTTGCAGCAGGAACAAGCTGTGATCACACTCGCTCTTCTTGAATCCCCCAGCCAGCAGTGTCTCCTCCAGCTTGTGGTACCATGCACCTCATCGGCCTCAATGATCAGCGGTGTAGTAGGAAGCTTCTGCTGCTGCTGCTTCCACTCCTTGTAGTACAAGGACTCAAGGAACTTCACATCCCTTGACACAGTCAGCTGCTGGCTGGTCAAGTCCCACAGCAGCCAGCCCTTGTGGTCCTTTGCAATCCCCAAATGCACACCCCCTATCCAAGAAGCTTCCAACTTTCCTCTCTTCTCCTTCGGCACGTGAAACACTACCATGCAGCCATCGGCTCTAAGCATGTTTACCGCTGGTGCACCCTGTTGGTGTAGGGAACCCACTGCTTGTCCCCCACAGTCGCCAGCACCCTGTTCTTCACAAGAGCGACCTGCCTCAGTGCAGTCACCCAAAACGGATCCGGCAGCCCTGCACGCCCAAGGAGAGTGCGAGCACCTTCTTGCAGGGTCCGGTTGAACCGCTCAGCCACGCCGTTCTGCTGAGGGCTGTAAGGCACCGTGAGCTGATGCTGGATCCCTTTCGGCTTCAACTCCATATTAAAATCAACGCCGATGAACTCTCCCCCGTTGTCGGTGCGGATCACCTTCACCTTGTAACCGCTCTCCCTTTGTGCTCTCGGCATCCACTCCTTCAAAACAGCCGCTGCCACCTCCCCCTTAGTCTTCAGAGGGTACACCCACACCGCACGCGTGTGGTCGTCCACAATGGTCAAGAAATAGCGGCTGCCCGAGAGAGAAGGGGCCCTCGTAGGGCCCACCACATCCATGTGCACAAGTGCAAGTGGAGCCTTGGCTGGTCCCGTGCTGCTGCTGAAGGGAAACTTCGTGAACTTCGTTTCAAGGCATGTAGGGCAGCTCCCAATCTCCTTTGCTGCCCCCTTCACCTCCAACCCCTTCAAGCTCCCATCCTTCACCAACTTCTGCAGCATAGGAATGTTGATGTGACACAGCCTCTCATGCCACGTCTCCCAATCGGCCTCACCACTCCCAGACGAAGCCTTTGCCCATGCAGCTGTCGCATCCACACCAGCAAGCACCTCACCATGTGGCTGCTGTGGCTGCTGATTATTCTTGACTGCATCCAGGGCCCCATCAGTTGGTGCAGTCTCCTCTCCTCCCGCAGTTGCTTTAGCCATTGCTGTCGCCGCTTCCGTTGGAGGTTTCCCGTTCCAAGGAATGATGGGCAGCTGCTCTTCTCCTCCAGATCCCACAATTGCTGCTTCCCAAGGTTCACACGGCAGCTGGTTGGGCCAAAGGTTACTTTGGCCTTGCTATTCTGCAGCCGGTCACTTTCTTAAATGGACCGGTCAGACCAACTCACCTTTTGGTCCACTGGACCGGTCGGACCAACTGGCCTGTTTCTCAGATTTACCGTTCGGACCAACTGACCTGTTGGTCCAATGAACAAGTCGGACCAACTGGCCTGTCGGCCGAATCGACCGGTCGGACCAACTGGCCTGTTGGTCTAATGGACTTGTTGGACCAACTAGTCAGGTGGCCTAATGGACCGGACAGACCAATTGGCCTGTCGGCCCAATGGACCGGTCAGACCAATTGGCCTGTTGGTCCAATGGATCGGTCGGACCAACTGGCCTGTTGGTCCAACGGACCGGTCGGACCAACTGGCCTGTTTGCCAAATGGACCGGTCGGACCAACTGGCCTCTTGGTCCAAAACAGCGGTTTGACCAACTGGCCTGTTGGTCCAATGGACCAATTGGACCAATAGGCCTATTAGCCCAATGCACCGGTTGGACCAACGGGCGTGTTGGCCCAATGCACCGGTCGGACCAACTGGCCTGTTGGTCCAATGGACCAATCTGACCAACTGGCCTGTTTGTCCAATGGACCGATCAGACAAACTAGCCTGTTGGCCCAATAGATCGGTCGGACCAACTGGCATATTGGTCCAATGGACCTGTCAGACCAACTGGCATGTTTCTCCAATGGACTGGTCGGACCAACTGGCCTGTTGGTCCTATGGACCGGTCAGCCCAAGTGGCCAGTTTGTCCAATGGACCGGTCGGACCAACTCGCCTGTTGGTCCAATGGATCGGTCGGACCAACTGGCCTGTTGGTCAAGTGGACCTTTGAGACCAACTGGCCTATTGGTCCAATGGACCGGTCGGACCAACTGGCATGTTGGTCCAATGGACCGGTCGGACCAACTAGCCTGTTGGCCCTACGAACCGGTCGGACCAACTGGCCTGTTTGTCCAATGGACCGGTCGAACCAACTGGCCTGTTGGTCCAATGGATCAGTCAAACTAGCAGACCTGTTGGTCAAATGGACCTGTGAGACCAACTGGCCTATTGATCCAATGGACCGGTCGGACCAACTAGCTTGTTGGTCCAATGGACTGGTTGGACCAACTGGCCTGTTGGTCCTATGGACCGGTCGGACCAACTGGCCTTCTGGTCCAATGCATCGGTTTGACCAACTCGCCTGTTGGTCCATTGGACCGGTCGGACCAACTAGCCTTTTGGCCAAATGCATCGGTTTGACCAACTGGCCTGTTTCTCCGATGGACCGGTCGGACCAACTGGCCTGTTGGTCCTATGGACCGGTCGGACCAACTGGCCTTTTGGCCAAATGCATCGGTTTGACCAACTGGCCTGTTGGTCCAATGGACCTGACGGGCCAACTTGCCTGTTTCTCCAATGAACCGGTCGGACCAACTGGCCAGTTGGTCCAATGGACCGGTCGGACCAACTAGCCTGTTGGTCCTATGGACCGGTCGGACCAACAGGAAATTTGGTCCTAAGAACCGGTCGGACCAACTTTCCTGTTGGCCCAATGGATCGTTCAGACCAACTGGCCTTTTGGCCTTTTGGCCCAGTGCATTGGTTTGACCGACTGGCCTCTTGGTCCAATGGACCGGTCGGACCAACTTGCCTGTTGGTCCAATGGACCGGTCGAACCAACTTGCGTGTTGGTCCTATGGACCATTCGGACCAATTGGCCTATTGGCCCAACCAACTGGCCTATTGGTCCAATGGACCGGTCGGACCAACTTGCCTGTTTCTCCAATGGACCGGTCGGACCAACAGGCCTGTTGGTCCAATGGACCGGTTGGACCAACTAGCCTGTTGGCCCAATGGATCGGCCGGACCAACTGGCATGTTGGTCCAATGGACTTGTCAGACCAACTGGCCTATTGGTCCAAAGGACTGGTTGGACCAAATGGCCTATTGGTCCGATGGACCGGTCGGACAAACTGGCCTTTTGGCCCAATGCATCGGTTTGACCAACTAGCCTGTTGGTCCAAAGGACCTGTCTGACTAACAGGCCTGTTTCTCCAACGGATCGGTCGGACCAACAAGCATGTTGGTCCAAAGGACTAGTCTGACCAACTGGCCTGTTGGTCCTATGGACCGGTCGGACCTACTAGCCTTTTGGTCCTATGGACCGGTCGGACCAACTGGCCTGAAGGCCCAATGCATCGGTTTGACCATTTGGCCTGTTGATCCTATGGACCAGTCTGACCAACAGGCCTGTTTGTCCAATGGACCGGTCGGACCAACTGGCCTGTTGGTCCTATGGACCGGTCGGACCAACTGGCCTTTTGGCCCAATGCATCGGTTTGACCAACAGGCCTGTTGGTCCAATGGACCGGTCGGACCAACTAGCCTGTTGGTCCAATGGGCCGGTCGGACCAACTGGCCTGTTGGCCCAATGCATAGGTTTCACCAGCTAGCCTGTTGGTCCAATGGACCAGTCGACTGGACTGTTTCTCCACTAGACCGGTCGGACCAACTAGCCTGTTGATCTTATGGACCATTCCGACCAACTGGCCTGTTTGTCCAATGGACCGGTCAAACCAACTGGCCTGTTGGTCCAATGGATCGTTCAGACCAACTAGCGTGTTGGTCCAATGGACCTGTCAGACCAACTGGCCTGTTTCTCCAATGGACTGATCGGACCAAGTGGCTTGTTGGTCCTATGGACTGGTCGGACCTACTAGCTTGTTTATCGAATGGACCGGTCGGACCAGCAAGCCTGTTGGCCCAAAGGACCGGTCGAACCAACTGGCCTGTTGGTCCTATGGACCGGTCGGACCAACAGCCCTTTGGACCTATGCATCGGTTTGACCAACTGGCCTGTTGGTCCAATGGATCAGTCAGACCAACTGGCCTGTTTCTTCAATGCACCGGTTGGACCGACTGTCCTGTCGGTCCAATGGACCAGTCGGACCAACTGGCCTGTCTGTTCAATGGACCGGTCGGACCGACTGGCTTGTCAGTCCAATGGACCGGTCGGACCGACTGGCCTGTTTGTCCAATAGACTGGACGGACCGACTGGCCTGTCGGTCCAATGGACCGGTCGGACCAACTGGCCTGTCGGTCCAATCGACAAGTCGAACCGACTAGCCTGTCGATCCAATTGACCGGTCGGACCGACTGGCCTGTCCGTCCAATGGACAAGTCGGACCGACTAGCCTGTCGGTCCAATGGACCGGTCGGACCAACTGGCCTGCTGGTCCAGGCCTGTTGGTCCAATGGAGCGGTCGGACCAACTGGCCTGCTGGTCCAATGGACCGGTCGGACCAACTGGCCTGTTGGTCAAATGGACCGGTCGGACCAACTGGCCTACTAGTCCAATGGACCGGTCGGACCAACTGACCTGACGGTCCTATGGACTGGTCGGACTAACTTGCCTTCTGGTCCAACGGACCGGTCGGACCAACTGGCCTGCTGGTCCAATGGACTGGTCGGACCAACTAGCCTGTTGGTCCAATGGACCGGTCGGACCAACTGGCCTGCTGGTCCCAATGACCGCTCGGACCAAATGGCCTGTTGGTCCAATGGACCGGTCGGACAAACAGGCCTACTGGTCTAATGGACCGGTCGGACAACCTGGCTACTGGTCCAATGGACCGGTCGGACCAACTGGCCTGCTGGTCCAATGGACCGGTCGGACCAACTGACCTGCTAGTCTAATGGACCGGTCGGACCACCTAGCCTGTTGGTCCAATGGACCGGTCGGACCAAATGGCTTGCCAGTCCAATGGACGTCCAATGGACCAGTCGGACCAACTGGCCTGTTGGTCCAATGGACTGCTCAGACCAACTTGCGTGTTGGTCCAATGGACCGGTCGGACCAACTGACCTGCTGGTCCAATGGACCGGTCGGACCAACTGGCCTGCTGGTCCAATGGACCGGTCGGACCATCTGGCCTGTTGGTCCAATGGACCGGTCGGACCAAATTGGCCTGCTGGTCCAATGAACCGGTCAGACCAACTGGCCTGTCGGTCCAATGGACCGGTCGAACCAACTGGCCTGTCGGTCCAATGGACCGGTCGAACCAACTGGCCTGTCGGTCCAATGGACCGGTCAGACCAACTGGCCTATCGGTCCAATGGACCGGTCGGACCAACTGGCCAGTTGGTCCAATGGACCGGTCAGACCAACTGGCCTGTCGGTCCAATGGACCATCGGACCAACTGTTGGTGTAAGGGCCTAATAAACTCAAGCTATTAGGACTTAATCAAACTTAAAACCTCTCCTCGGGGTCACCTCCAAGGGTCTCTGGGTGCCTGGTACAAGACCAGCCCCTATCTTCGGGTCCGAGTTTGTAGAGAGAGGGATCAAGAAGGACTTAGTCAAAACAGCAAGAGTACCTTGAACGTCGCGCAGCGTGCCGTGCAGACCGTCGGTCGGATTAAGCTGAGAATTCGCTATATCGAAGCTCGCTCCAAGAGCTTTAAAATGAGCCAAGTTGCCTCGCGAAAAGTTCTGCCATTACTAAGTTATGGCTCGGACAGCGTTTGCCTAGCGTTGGAGTGCTAGCATACTAGCGTTGACTCGGGTAGCATTTCGCCGTCGAATAGCGCAGAAACGAAACTCCAGCGAGGAAGGAATTCGCATGAATCAATTTTACTATATTCAGGTACAAACAGAGAAGGATTAAATAGTTCTAGCTAGCAAGGACCTTGGGAATCAACCTGGGAACAACCAGGGATGATCCCAAATAATTCCAAGCAACAGAACCAACCTGGCTGGACAAAATAGCAGGTGGTAGGTTGGTAAACAACCTCTGGTTCTGTTTTTCCAACCTGGGAAAACAACAACCAGGTTCAGGTTCTAAAAACAGAACCTGTTTTGTCTTTGCCCAACCAGCCAAATGCTGGTTCCGCTGGTTTCCCCTGGCCTTGTAGCATGCAGATACAGACAAACAACATCCAACCTTCACCTAAATTGTACCCCTATAGTGCCTTCCCTGCTACACTATAGTTAACCAAACAAAACAGTACAATTTCGAGTTGGATAGAACTGAATCTGCGCAATCAACTCAACCGAACTGCAAAGCTTCCATCTTGGGTTCCTTTGCGAGCTCGTCCTTTCTGCTTGCACTGTTCATAGCGCGTACAATGTTGTGCCGAAGCGCACATTGCGCGAGTACCTGCAAATGGATCAAGCGAAAAATGCGAAAGCAAACAAACACACGAACACACCATTCACACGCAAATGCATTCGCACACGCATACTCGTACAAACAGACGGCAGGATGTCGTGCAATGTGCATTTGCACCCAACACACTCCCCCTCAGCCTGCCGGCTGCATCCCCGTCATTCCATGCTAGTTCATGCTCATTCCACTCATGCGCACACAACGCCAATGAGGCTCATCCGCAAGCCTCTTGGTGAGAAAGTCTGCTGGCTGCTGGTGAGTCTTGATGTAGATCGGATGCACCGTCCCCCTCTTCACCTCCTTACGCAGCCAGTGCCACTTGATACGCATGTGCTTGTTCAGCCCATGAAGCACAGCGTTTCTGGCCATCCCAAGAGCCCCCTTGCTATCACAAAACAGCGGCATAGCAACTTTCTGCTCCTGGCCAATCTCCTCTAACAGCCTCCTCAGCCAAATCACCTCCTTCACCCCATGGAACATCGCCATGTACTCTGATTCTACGGAAGAGAGTGCCGTCTCCGTCTGCTTCTTGGACCTCCAACTAACAGGTCCTCCCCCAACTACGCAGATGTATCCTCCCACAGATGAGGAATCCTCCTTCTCAGAAGCCCACGTAGCATCGGTAAAGCAAGTGAGAAATAGCTTGCCTTCTCCAAGCCTCTCCCCCTTCTCTTTCAGCACCTCCACCCCTTTCTGCTTCACCTGTGCAGATGCGGAGTATTGAACTCCAATGCTTGGGTGAGAGTTCAGGTACTTCACCACACGCTCAGCTGCATCCACCTGCTCCTCTGATGGATTCTGCACCACCCTAGCCAGCTGCCCAACCGAGAAAGAGATGTCGGGCCTCGTGTGAACTGCTGCGTACAAGAGGCTGCCCACCAAGGACTGAAATTGCTGCTGCTCTTCAGCTTCAACCCCTTCATCCTCTGCAGCCTTCACAAGCTTGAATTCTGCTGGCAGGGGAGTTGCAACCTTGCGCTCATTCTCAATCCCATACTTCTCCCCCAGCTCCTTGATGAACTTCTCCTGGTGCAGCTTCAACCACCTGTGATCTGGATCCCTCTCCACGTGCATCCCGAGGTAGTACTTTACCTCCCCAAGGTTCTTGCACTTGAAGTTTTCCATCAGTTGCTGCTGCACTTTCTGGATCTCCTTCATGCTGCTGCTGAAGAGAAGAATGTCGTCCACATAGACCAGAAACAGCACCAGCTTCTCCCCCTCGCCCTTGAGAAAGAGGCTCTCATCACAGCTGCTGGTCCTGAATCCCATCTCCTCTAAAACAGCTGCCAACTTCTGGTACCAGCAGCGTGGCGCCTGCTTCAAGCCGTAGATGGACTTGTTGAGCTTGCACACCCTGCCCGTACCATCCTCATACCCAGGCGGCTGCGTCATGTACACATCCTCCTCTAAAATCCCATTCAGGAATGCCGTTGAAATATCCATCTGAATGATGAATTTCCCACTAACAGCTGCATCTGCCAACAAGACACGGAGGGTAGGGGGTTTGGCAGTGGGAGCAAAGATCTCGTTGAAGTCCTGCTTCTCCTTCTGCATAAACCCCTTCGCCACCAGCCTACTCTTGTAGATGGTGACCTGCCCCTTGTCATCGGTCTTGATCCTCAGCACCCACTTGCATTGTATCGCTTTCTTCCCATCAGGCAGCACCACCAGATCCCATGTCCTATTCTCCAGCAGGCTCTGGTACTCAGCATCCCTAGAAGCCAGCCACTTGTCCCTATCTGGTCCAGCTAATGCCTCCTCCATGCTAGCTGGTTCCTCTGGTGCAGGGGCAAGAAAACAGTACGCAGGCTCATCCTCCTCATCCGGGTCATAGCCATGAGGTAGAATCAGCAATGCCTCTTCGGTCCCTAGCTGCTGCTCTGCTGCATCAGTTCCTGCAGTCAGCTTCTTAGTAGCCATACGGGTACGTCCTGGCCTGGAGACGGGTGTCTCCCATCCCTTCATAACGACACCCTTCGGCTTCTTAGTTTTTCCCTGCTGCTTCTCTCCTCCCTCGGGTCCAGCAGCTCCACTAGTGCTGCCGCCAGTTTCCACACCATTTTCTCCACCAGCAGATGCCTCCTGTACCTTCTCTCCATCACCATTTCCAGCAGCTGCCTCCTCTCCCTCCTCCCACACACTAGGAGTCAGGTCCAGCTGCATGGTGATCTGCTCCATCTGCTGGGACACCCTTGCCTCCGGCTGTTTCTCCCAGCTCCCATACATCATGCCCTCAATGAATTTCACATCCCTGCTGTCAAACAACACACCCTTGGATGGTTCCCACAGCAGCCATCCCTTGCTCTCAGCAGCCAGCCCCAAATGCACACACCAGATTGCACTCGCCCCCAACTTACTGCGGTAGGTCTTGGGGACGTGGGCGACTGCCATGCAACCGAACACCCTCAGCATGTCCACCGGCGGCTTCCTCCCAAGCCACCTCTCCAACGGCACCCACGAGTCATCCCCAACCTTGGTGAGCACCCTGTTCCTAGCGACAGTGGCGTGCCGGACAGCATGAGGCCACATAGAATTGCTCAGCCCAGATTCTATGAGCAGCGCCCTAGCTGTCTCCAGAATGGTCCGGTTTGCCCGTTCTGCTACACCATTGGACTGTGGGGTATAAGCCGTGGTCAGCTCTCTCTGGATGCCCTGCTTCTTGAGCCAGGCCGTCATTTCAGCTCCAAGGAACTCACCACCCCGGTCTGTCCTAATCCGCTTCACTACACACTCCGCCTGCTTCTCCACGAATGGCAGCCAATCGTCCCGTATCGTGGAGGCGGCGTGGTCCTTCTGCTTCAGCGGATACGCCCACATCAGCCTGCTCCAGTCATCCACAATTGTAAGAAAATACCGCTCCCCCTTGTGCCCTTGCACCGGCAGCGGCCCCACCAAGTCCATGTGGACCAGCTCCAAAGGCTTCTTGCTCCTGCCAGCCACACTATGGAAAGGGAAACGGGTGAACTTTGAAAGCAAACAGATTTCACAGTTGTCATCGGGTGGCTGTCCGTTCAGCTTCAGACCCTTAACGGCTCCATCCTTCTCCAGCTGCTTCAGCAAAGGCATTGCCACATGCCCTAAGCGCCGGTGTGCCGTTGCCCAATCTGTCTCCCCAGATCTGGCCGACACTTTCACACCAACCCCTCCAACGGCATTGCACTCCCCCTGGGATGCAGACCCCTCTCCAGCCTGCCCCCCACCATGCCACGCCAGGGCCGGCAGCTGCCACATAGATCTGTACACGTCCTTGCTCTCGTGCAGATCCCAAAGCACCCGATTGCCCAGCTTCCCCTTATAAGTGCGTGCCCCATCCGTGTTGGTGTTCACCCCAGCCTTGCCAAGCTTACGGAGGGAGATAAGGTTGGCCTTCAGGTCGGGGACGAAGAGAACGTCGTGCAGCACCACCGGCTTGCCATCCGCTCCCTTAAACGCAGCTCGTCCCGCACCAGCCACCTTCAACATGTGTCCAGAGGCGGAGCACACTTCATTGATCGGTGCAGCTCGTACTTCGTCCAGCAGGTCCTTGCGCGGCGTCATCGTCCAAGCAGCGCCTGTGTCCAACACCCAATAGTCTAGGGGGTGCAGCTCTGCTCCAACTTTGGCAGAGGCGTCTCCTTGCTCCCCCTTGTCTCCCACATGGAAGAATTGGCCCGCGGTGCGCTCCTTCTTCTTCTCCGCACCGCCGTTGCCCTTCGGGTTGTTGTCGGACGAATCAGCGACCATGTTGGCGCCGTTTTTCTGGTTCCTCCGCGCGCCGCCATCCTGGTGACGATTCTGGGGGGTCCATCCATCGGGTTTCTTATAGCACAAAAACCAGGGGTGCCCTTCCTTCTCACAATACCAGCAACTCCCTTTCATTTTGCCACCAGCACCCGACTTGCCCCCACGTCCAGATTTCGCACCGCGACCCCAACCAGTACCTCCTTGTTGGTCGTTGGAGTCGTCGTCTTTCTTTGCACCGCGTCCAGCACCACCAAAGCCACGTCCTCTGCCACGTCGGCTCCCTTGCATCCCGTAGCTGCTGCTGCCGTCGTCTCCACCCCTCAGTTGGCGGCGACGGAAGTCCTCCTCCAGAATCTTCGTCCGCACCCACTCGAGCGTCCACGAGCTCTGGTTCTGCGGCAGGCTCAATCCGCTCGTAAATTGAAGCCACGATTCCGGCAGCAGCGAGAGCATCTTCAAGCACTTGGTCTGCTCCGGGTAGGTGATTCCCGCGGTCGCCAACTTCGCGTAGAGGTCGCGCATCTTGTCCAGGACTGGTTGCACCGGCTCTCCCTCGCTCAGGCGCAACGCGGACAGCTCCCTCTCCAGCATCAACGTTGCGACAACGGAGGTCGGGGCGTGCAGCTCCTTCAACACGGTCCACGCCTTCGGACCGCATTCAACCTCCGGCAGCAGGTGCATGACGTGGTGACGCTGGTTCAGCTCCAAACTCTGCGACATCAAATAGTAGCCAGCCGAGGAGCGCTCGTCCCAATCTTCCTGCAGCGTGGGGTCACTCGGTCTAGGCTCCTCCCCAATCATTAGTTTCAGCAAACCGATCTGACGGAAATATAATTGCATTTTCCAGGCCCAATCATCATAGTCCTCACCATTGAACTTCTCGACGGTGAAATTCTTCAGCACCTCCTTGACAAGCGAGCCCTGGTTTGTTCGCGCTCCCCTTGGCGCTGAAAGACCAGAATCTTGGCTGCCGCTACGATCTTGGGCTGAAGATTCACCAGCTCCCGCCGAGGTGTTGCCCGCCATAGCTACCTATAACGAGGATCACTATAACGCAGCTCTGATACCAGCTTGTTGGTGTAAGGGCCTAATAAACTCAAGCTATTAGGACTTAATCAAACTTAAAACCTCTCCTCGGGGTCACCTCCAAGGGTCCCTGGGTGCCTGGTACAAGACCAGCCCCTATCCTCGGGTCCGAGTTTGTAGAGAGAGGGATCAAGAAGGACTTAGTCAAAACAGCAAGAGTACCTTGAACGTCGCGCAGCGTGCCGTGCAGACCGTCGATCGGATTAAGCTGAGAATTCGCTATATCGAAGCTCGCTCCAAGAGCTTTAAAAATGAGCCAAGTTGCCTCGCGAAAAGTTCTGCCATTACGAAGTTATGGCTCAGACGGTGTTTGCCTAGCATTAGAGTGCTAGCATAGACTCGGGTAGCATTCCGCCAACGAACCGCGTAGAAACGAAATTCCAGCGAGGAAGGAATTCGCATGAATCAATTTGACTATATTCAGGTACAAACAGAGAAGGATTAAATAGTTCTAGCTAGCAAGGACCTTGGGAATCAACCTGGGAACAACCAGGGATGATCCCAAATAATTCCAAGCAACAGAACCAACCTGGCTGGACAAAATAGCAGGTGGTAGGTTGGTAAACAACCTCTGGTTCTGTTTTTCCAACCTGGGAAAACAACAATCAGGTTCAGGTTCTAAAAACAGAACCTGTTTTGTCTTTGCCCAACCAGCCAAATGCTGGTTCCGCTGGTTTCCCCTGGCCTTGTAGCATGCAGATACAGACAAACAACATCCAACCTTCACCTAAATTGTACCCCTATAGTGCCTTCCCTGCTACACTATAGTTAACCAAACAAAACAGTACAATTCCGAGTTGGATAGAACTGAATCTGCGCAATCAACTAAACCGAACTGCAAAGCTTCCATCTTGGGTTCCTTTGCGAACTCGTCCTTTCTGCTTGCACTGTTCATAGCGCGTACAATGTTGTGCCGAAGCGCACATTGCGCGAGTACCTGCAAATGCATCAAGCGAAATTTGCGAAAGCAAACAAACACACGAACACACCATTCACACGCAAATGCATTCGCACACGCATACTCGTACAAACAGACGGCAGGATGTCGTGCAATGTGCATTTGCACCCAACACCGAACTGCAAAGCTTCCATCTTGGGTTCCTTTGCGAGCTCGTCCTTTCTGCTTGCACTGTTCATAGCGCGTACAATGTTGTGCCGAAGCGCACATTGCGCGAGTACCTGCAAATGCATCAAGCGAAAAATGCGAAAGCAAACAAACACACGAACACACCATTCACACGCAAATGCATTCGCACACGCATACTCGTACAAACAGACGGCAGGATGTCGTGCAATGTGCATTTGCACCCAACACAACCTGCCTTCTGGTCCAATGGACCGGTCGGACCGACTGGCCTGTCGGTCCAATGGACCGGTTGGACCAACCTGCCTTCTGGTCCAATGGACTGGTCGGACCAACTGGCCTACTGGTCCAATGGACCGGTCGGACCGACTGGCCTGTTGGTTTAATGGACCGGTCGGACCGAGTGGCCTGCTGGTCCAATGGACCGGTCGGACCGCTTGGCCCGTAGGTCCAATGGACCGGTCGGACCGAGTGTCCAGACTGAGAACTCAAGCGGCCTACCGTTGGCGTCAAAGCGGAGGACCCTAGGGGTCGCCATAGTGGAAGCAAAGAGGTGGGAACTGCCACTGCCGAAACCCAAAACACTGAAGGCGCCTGAGGAGGGCGTGACATGTAGTGCGAGAGGCTCAGGGCACTACGGGACGTTAGGGCAAAGTGTGACACCGCAGGATAGGCAACTCGAGGCGACGGGCGTGGCTCGGCTGGACGGGACGGACGGGATGGCGCGGCGCGGCAATACGAGATAGGCGCAGCGCTGCGGGGCACTCTGGCGCGGCGCGGCGGGACGGGCGCGCAGCGCTTGCGGGACGGGCTGGCGCGGTGCTTGTGGGACAGGCTAGGTTCTGCGCGGCGGGACGGGCTGGCGTGGCGCTGTAGGACGGGCTGGCGTGGCGCTGTAGGACGGGCTGGCGCGGCGCTAGCGAAGCAACAGGCTAGGCGCACACGGCGCGACGGGACTGACGGGTCGAGCGCGACGCGACGGACAGGACGGGCCGGGGGGGGGGGGGAGGGGAGAGAGACGCGACGAGAAACACGCTGACAGCAGATTTGCGGGAGGGGGGGGGGAGATGCGGGCGACGGGACGGGACGGGACGGGCGTGACACAACGCAAGCATGCTGACAGCAGATTTGGGGGGGGGGGGGACGGACTGGACGGGCAAAACAGGCACTAGAGATTGGAACGGGAAGGACTCTACAGTGCAGGAAGGGCTCGACGGTAGGCAGAAGGAACGGGATCCCACAGGATCCTAACCTAGGTGATACCATGTCAGAATCGAAAGAGTGTGTTGCATTGACAATTTTGGTTGGGGCACATAATCCTTACCCTAACAACTGTACCCCATATGACATGCCTCACTATAGGCTACAACATTTGACACATACCTATATGGTTGGTACCAAGAGTAAGTGCATTACTTTACTACCCATATGGTTGGTACCAATAGTAAGTGCGTTACTTATCCATATGGTTGGTACCAAAAGTAAGTGCGTTATTTACCCATATGGTTGGTAGCAAGAGTAAGTGCGTTACTTACCCATATGATTGGTACCAAGAGTATGTGCGTTACTTACCCATATGGTTGGTACGAAGACCTCTATGGATGGGAGGTGCTTGCCCTCCGCCTGGACCACAGTGCGGCGAACGCACTTGTCCACTTCCAGCTCTTGCCAGCCAATTTGATCTTCCCCACCATGTTCTGCTCCTTAGCAAAATTCATCCGATGTCGTTTGTGTCGAACCGTGCCAAACTTGCGGGTGTAGATACGTGCATGCTGCGTGAATGCGAACTCGATCTTGTGGAGTACTCGATTCGTGCGAAACCTTTGGCCTCGGAAAACTGCTTCGCACCTTTCAACCCACAGCTGATGAAATGCGATGGGTGTGAGAGTCAGCTCCGGAAAAGCTGAGTTGGATCCCGTTTTCCGGAATAGTAGGTCACCGAGTGTGGCTGTGGGACGGTTGAGATTTAGCATGCGCAAAGCACGCTTGAGAGCGGAGGTGATCGTCTTGATCCGAGGGCAGAGGAGGAGGCAGTGGTCCAGAGTCTCCTCTTCCCCGCAGTAGGGGCAGGTTGGTTTCCCGCTGAGTAACGCAAGACGCTCCCCCACTTGCAAGTTTAAGCCATGGATACGGATGAGGACGTCACGTGGACGGCTGGGAACTGCCAGAGAGTCCCGTGTTGCCACCACCCGCTTCCAGTTGATATGTCTCCCACAGCTTCTTGCCCACTTCTCCCTTTTACGCTTTCCAGCACTCCCTCATCCTCTTGATGGAGATCACCTCCCCCGCCCTCCAGAATGTTCATCGGGGGAGTAGAGTCAGCCGAGCAAGGAGGGGCTGAAGGGAAACCTGTTGGTGTAAGGGCCTAATAAACTCAAGCTATTAGGACTTAATCAAACTTAAAACCTCTCCTCGGGGTCACCTCCAAGGGTCCCTGGGTGCCTGGTACAAGACCAGCCCCTATCCTCGGGTCCGAGTTTGTAGAGAGAGGGATCAAGAAGGACTTAGTCAAAACAGCAAGAGTACCTTGAACGTCGCGCAGCGTGCCGTGCAGACCGTCGGTCGGATTAAGCTGAGAATTCGCTATATCGAAGCTCGCTCCAAGAGCTTTAAAATGAGCCAAGTTGCCTCGCGAAAAGTTCTGCCATTACTAAGTTATGGCTCGGACAGCGTTTGCCTAGCGTTGGAGTGCTAGCATACTAGCGTTGACTCGGGTAGCATTCCGCCGTCGAATAGCGCAGAAACGAAATTCCAGCGAGGAAGGAATTCGCATGAATCAATTGACTATATTCAGGTACAAATAGAGAAGGATTAAATAGTTCTAGCTAGCAAGGACCTTGGGAATCAACCTGGGAACAACCAGGGATGATCCCAAATAATTCCAAGCAACAGAACCAACCTGGCTGGACAAAATAGCAGGTGGTAGGTTGGTAAACAACCTCTGGTTCTGTTTTTCCAACCTGGGAAAACAACAACCAGGTTCAGGTTCTAAAAACAGAACCTGTTTTGTCTTTGCCCAACCAGCCAAATGCTGGTTCCGCTGGTTTCCCCTGGCCTTGTAGCATGCAGATACAGACAAACAACATCCAACCTTTACCTAAATTGTACCCCTATAGTGCCTTCCCTGCTACACTATAGTTAACCAAACAAAACAGTACAATTCCGAGTTGGATAGAACTGAATCTGCGCAATCAACTCAACCGAACTGCAAAGCTTCCATCTTGGGTTCCTTTGCGAGCTCGTCCTTTCTGCTTGCACTGTTCATAGCGCGTACAATGTTGTGCCGAAGCGCACATTGCGCGAGTACCTGCAAATGCATCAAGCAAAAAATGCGAAAGCAAACAAACACACGAACACACCATTCACACGCAAATGCATTCGCACACGCATACTCGTACAAACAGACGGCAGGATGTCGTGCAATGTGCATTTGCACCCAACACACTCCCCCTCAGCCTGCCGGCTGCATCCCCGTCATTCCATGCTAGTTCATGCTCATTCCACTCATGCGCACACAACGCCAATGAGGCTCATCCGCAAGCCTCTTGGTGAGAAAGTCTGCTGGCTGCTGGTGAGTCTTGATGTAGATTGGATTCACCGTCCCCCTCTTCACCTCCTTACGCAGCCAGTG